AAAAAAAAATCCAGAGATCATTAAAGCCATTAGGATCAAGTGTCTGGGAAACAGAAATGCCTGCACCAGATTTTCTAAAAGTCTGTCTTGTAGACGTTGAAATATTTTCTTGGCACGTTCTGGTGGTGCTTAAAGTTAATGAGAAAACCAGAAATGTGTGTTTCCACAGAAAAGTTGCTCCAGATAATCCACAGATGTCACCGTGAACAGCTAATTATTCTTTAAAAGGTTTAAAAAGAAGAAGAAAAGAAAATTCCATTCAGCTCCGTTTTATTGTGAATAAGGACTCTCAGAAAAAAACATCTGAAACTCGGACAATTAAACAAAATCCGTCACGACTAAACACCACCTGACGAGTTGAAATACTGTCTTCTTGTTATCAGGAGCGTTTGAAGGCAGCAAAGACGAGCGTGTGGACAGAAGAAAGAAGAGCGAATGAATCTTTTATCAGCTCAGTTTGCTCTAGTCATTAAGACACTGAAGCCGTTTACTTTGCTCCCACACATCCGGTGGCAACAAATACCAAATTGAGGTCAAGCGAGCAGGAAGTCACCTGATGCGTCTTGGTTGTGGAACGAAACGATGGCCTTTAATTACAACAGTCCTCTGCTCTGCTAACAGGGAAGGTAACAGAAGATAGTGTAAAAAAAATAACTGAAATCAAGGCTGTAACCAACAATTCAGAATCTGTCCAATGCTACGTGATTCATTAATTGATATTTTAGCCTAAAAAAGGTGAAAAACACCTGTCAGTATTTCAAAAAGGTGACATCTTCAGACCTACATTGCTGCTGTCATACATGCAAAGCAGTAACTTGTTGCTTAATATTAGAAATTCATGATTGAAAATGTTTTCAATGATAAATAAATTACCAAAAGCAGCTTCGGATTAACTTTCTACCAAATGAAAAACAAGTACAGGATTTCTTGAACTTCAGAGTGAAACATTTTTTTTGTAAAAGGCGACCCTGTTGTAAATAATCATCTGTTTACGCCTAAATGACTTCAGGCTGTTTGGCTTTTCTTTCTCTCTGTATCGCTGTTTTTTTTCCCAGAGACAACAAACGTAGCCCAGACTGAGCCTTGGAGACCTCATAAACAAACCAAAAACATGCATTTCGAACAAGGTGACGTTCAGCCCGCCGCGTGCGTTTCTGTTCGAAGAGGGGGCTTCTGGGAAATGTTGTTCCTGCTCAGTGAAGCTGCTCAATTCCACAGAAGCATGCAGTTATTAATATATCACCGGTGTTGCAAAACTTGCCAAAAAAAAACGGGCACAGGAAAGAAGCCTGATCCGATTACGAGCGCTGCGCTGCTTCCTGTTCATGCAGCTTCAAGACCTCCGAGCCACGCCCACTTCCTGCAGCACACAACTCATGACAATAGACAGATGACACAAATATTGACACGCACACAACACAAGCGCTGGTCAGATGACTCCACCTGCTCCACTCGTATCCGCTTCAACTTCCACCTCAGATGCTCCTATTTTGCGAATTTCTCAACTCTTGGACTTGTGAAACACTCGAACCTCGCTGGATGAACTCAAAAATGCACGATAGTCAGTTTAGAAAAGGCTGAGCTCAGTTCCTGGACGGCTGACTCGAGGTGAAGTAACCGAGGAGATGTGAGAAGTGTTTATTTGAATCAGTCTCTGCAACACTCGGGACAGAAAACCCAAGTGCGAAGCTGAGTTTTCCTGCCATGTATACAGATGCATGACACTGTGTGTGACGTGTCGCTGCATGCCGGATATTTTTGTGCACATGTTTAATTATAACCGTCAACCAACAAGACAAACACTTCTGAATAGCAGAGAAAGCCTCTTCAACCGCAGTAAACATGTTCTTTATCCAGGGTTTTATGACACCAGAACATAAAGACGCACAGCAACGGAGAGAGAAATCTGATCGCGGTACAAATACCAACACAACAACGTAAAAATATCCCATTACATGTAAAAGTCCTGCGTTCAAAATTCTGAGGCCCCATATGGTGATTGTTAATATTGTGGTTGTGGTCATGTGGTGTGTCACAACCTCGTGTTTAAAAAATAAAAGCGGTTGAGAAGTGAAGATACTGTTACTCCAGCCGCAACCAAAGCACGCCAAATATTCTGTTGTTGGATGCAAGAGTGAACACAAGAGTCTTCATGCACTCCCAGCATCTGAGGAACTGAACACCTACTGGATTTCTCTAACCCAGGGGTGTCCAATCCTGGTCCTCGAGGGCCACAATCCTGCATGTTTTAGATGTTTCCCTCTTCTAACACACCTGATTCAAATGATCAGTTCACCATCAAGCTCTGCAGAAGCCTGATAACGATCCTGATCATTTGAATCAAGTGTGTTGGAAGAGGGAAACATCTAAAACATGCAGGACTGTGGCCCTCGAAGACCAGGATTGGACAACCCTGCTCTAACCCTATTCAGGACTTTCATGTTGCCATACGTAGAGGGTCTTTCGGGGTCTATTGGACCCCAAGAAAGAATATATGCAAAATATTTGTTGGTATTCATTATAGACTTTTATACGATGCTAAATACCTTTTCTGATAAGTTATTTTTGGTTTCAAATGTATGACAAATGTCCCTCTTTTTATATTTTGAAAACACCACCCGTCACCTAAACCAGATGGTCTGGGGTCCAAAAAAGTCCTGAATAGGGTTAATGTTCATGACAATGCCGGCACAACAATAGCAACATCCTCAGTGTTGGCATGTTGTGCTGCCTATGTGGCTAACGTTANAGTCCTGAATAGGGTTAATGTTCATGACAATGCCGGCACAACAATAGCAACATCCTCAGTGTTGGCATGTTGTGCTGCCTATGTGGCTAACGTTATCATTTTAGACATTACTTTAGGACCAATTTGAAACTAATAAGCAGGGACTGGGTCTGCATGTTCAGTTAAGCTGAAAAACAGTCATGTCCTTTACATCAGTTCACTTCTCTCCTGCTCTCTGTGCTCACATATACTGAATATTAGCACAGTAAAGATGCTCTCATTTGCATATTTTTATATTTCTATTGTCAGACAATCGAACCAGTACGAAACAGTGACTGAAACGAAACCCACTGCAAGTTAACCAGCAGTCACTTCATTTCCAAGCTGCTGCTCTGCCCCACTAAAATACAAATTTTATAACTACAATGATATCTGACAAACTCACCATACACATGAGCTAAAACCAAACAGATTGGGGCAGCAACAGCTACAGAAACAGACTAAACCAGGGGTTGTTACACAGTCCTGGTAAAGTGAACCATCGTTCTGAGCTGAAAGACTGGAAGACACATTTTAGGAACACGTCAGACTTTCAATAATTTGCCAAAACAAACAAAAAGCATAAATATATAAAGACCTGACTAGATTTTTAATATTGATGCAAGTATATCTCAGAAATCTTAGAGAGCATATATTAGAAGGTTTAGCTCAGAGTCGGGTTCCCCCAAAGGTACACAAAATAATACGGAGGAGTGATTGCAATGATTACAAATATCACATATATTAGATCATTTTACCCCTCTGAGGCTCAAACTGTTGTTTCAAATGAAAGCCAAAAAATGGTCCCACTTGTTTATTCTGTTGTGCTTTATGAGATGTTTTGTTTTGGGTAAAAATCTCCACTGGCAAAAGAATGGCTGTCATGGGAACATAGAAATACTGCCGTCTGAAGTGCAGTGAAGTAGAAGACAGTGAAGCAAAGCTATCACATTATTGCACCAGAGTTTAATACTTAATGTACAGGGTTCGCTTCCAACAACGCAGCTGCACAACATTTCAATTCCCAAACTTGCAAAGACACCTGCGTGAAACCGGCCCACTAGTGTGCGATGTCGTCTTATCGCACGACATTAAGCTGACTGAGGGCTTCATTTGTCAAACACTTGGAATATTTCCTCCTTTTTCCAGCCAAGTTGGAGCAGCTCAACAACGAAATGACTGCTCCCGACTTCCAGATCGAGATGTGAAGCCCAATCACAGACATCTAGAAACGTGATAAAATAATGTTGGATGTGGAATCTGGCTGTGAAGGGATTCTGCATAACACATGCAGTCCGTCAGCTTCCCCAGTGTCTTGCGAAAGAGCCACACCCTTCATGTGGAGGAGCTTCAGTGCAGCTCAGTCTGATTAAAACAGGATCTCTCTCTCCCTCTCGCTCTCTGAAAACACTTTGGCATCCCTTTCTGTTATTGTCTGCCGCTCTCATGTCTCCACACTGCGGCTCCACCCGGATTCTTACGCTGACCTTAACCAAACCAGCTCCAGTCTTAACCTCAGCGTTTCCCGTTTTGACACCCAGTCGTCATGCGTTTGACATTCTTGGGCCTGTTGGGATTTCGCTCTGCTTCCTGCATCTGGGGGGTTTTTGTGGCGTCTCGCGTTTTGCCGCCTCCCTCGGAATAAAGATGCGTTGGAACGCCGCCTCTACGGGGTTCCTGCTCTCCGAAAATGGAGAGGAGGAGGATGGAGGCAGGAATGAAAGAGGGAAGAGGGAAATTCCAAGCTGACAGTGAAGCGCAGAGAGGAGGGAGCGTTACAGATACACACATGTTGACCATAATGAGAAGCTGTTATGCAATATATTGTACACATACAGATGAAAAAATGACACGTCTGATGTCAACGTTAAAGCCTGGTAATGGCACAGATGGGTTTTGTCTGTCTGTAGTAGCTCATCAAGACAAAGAGGTGGAAGAAGTGCTCAGATCTAAACATTAAAAAGTGGAGAAATGCTTCATTACAAGAAAAATGCATACATTTGAATATTTACTTTGGTAAAAGTACGAAAGTATTGGCATCAAAATCTGTTTAAAGTATAAAAGCGCTCACACTAACTGGGCATATTTCTACACTGTTCACTCAATTTATACTATCTATCCCATTTATACCACTATTTATCTCTACCAGTAGATCTTTTTTATATTCTATAGTGTTCATCGCGCTCTACTGCACTTTACTGCTGCTTTTGCACTTCTCAGATGCAAAAACTGCAGTTCATTGTCTCAGTCCTTGCACTCTGCGATGACAATAAAGTTAAATCTAATCCAATATTTCAAAATAGTGTATGACAGTCAAATAAAATGACTCGTGCATTAATGTGTTCATCACTTTATTTTGACTTTATTAAACTATATCTGCTAAAGTTTTGCAGTGGATGTAGTGGAGTAAGTGTTTGAGTTGTAATGCAGCAGAAAATGGAAATACAGTCATGACTCGATAATCCGACACTAAATGTAAAACCTTCTTTTATGTCGGATAGCAACGCTGTCGGATTGTCAAGACGGAGGTCGAGATACAAGGAGGGCTTGATGCTGGAAGGCTCATTTGTTGTTAATTATTGTTCATAGTTGTTATAATAACTAGTAGGGCTGGTCCCAACAGCACTTTCTGGTCTCTGGATATTCAGGCCCAATTAATGATGAATATCAGAATATTTGGAGCAGTCGGGGGACACTTCCACCCCGGGGCAGCGCTCCGACGGGGTGGAAGTGTCCGGAACACACAGGCAGTACTTGGCTGCTGATGCTAGTTTAGTTAGCGCTCACACTTCTGTTTCCACCATCGGCGGCGGCGGCGGTGGAGTGGAGGATACGCTCCATCGTTACCATCCATGTTTACTTCCGCAAACACTGAGCACGCTCGCTGCATGTCGTCGTTTCCTCTTCTGCGCATGCGGGACACTTTTGGGTCATATGAAGTTCACACAGCAGATCACATACAAGTCGCATTTAACTGGAAATGTGAACGAACTCACAAAAAAATCGGATTTCACAAAAAATCTGAATTGAGCATCAAGTCCTGCAGTGTGAACGTAGCCAATCTGTTGGATTGTTCAGTCAGATAATACGCCGTTATCCTTACTGGTGACATAAAATGTCATGTTGGAGTCAGAATCCAAGGCTGTCGCTATGTTAGGGCTGTTTTTAATGGGTTTCCTAAAAAACTGTCGGATAGCAAGGCTTTGTTAAGAGTCGGATTATCGAGTCACGATTGTACTCAAAGCACAGTTAGTTACTTTTCACCACTGCCCTCCTCACATTACAGGCTACATCTTAATGTTATGACACAAACCAGGATTCCTAATTTGCTTCAGTTTAACAAAAAAGAAGTATGATTACATTTTTTTTTTGGAAATACAGTCATAAGCTGAGTGAACTGCAGAATCCAGATGTTTAAAGGAATGTTTCAGGATTCTGGAAATGCAATAACGTCCATGTGTTGTTGGAAAAATCAGTGTGACTGGAACGTAAGACGTTAAAGCTCCCCGAGTGTTTTATTTCTCCTTCTGAGCTTCTCCAGATCCTACAACAACATATGCTTTATGGAAGCAGGACAACATTCAGAAACATTTAGACGAAGATAAGAGACAAACGTTCCTCCTACACGTCTGCCTGGAAGTCATCTGTTGCTGAGATTTACATACAAAAGCCAACAATGCATCCACTGAACCCGGCTGAACACAGCTTCTAAAGTCCTCATTTAGATGTGAGAGATGTGTTTTCCATCTTCCATATGCATGAGCGACTCCAGTTAAGGACAAGCTGTAAAAAAAAAAACTCCACTGCTTTGATTCTGCAAGCAAACAAACGTCTGAACCGCAGAGTGAAAACTACAGAGCTGTTTGCAAAAGCTCGCGACGTTACGGCGGTGAAGGTTACCTGCTATGAGTCACTTTGGTTTTATCCTTGATATGCTGCTGTAAAAATAAATGCTGTGCACATAAGCAGCAGAGACTTTGGTGTTTGGAGTGAAACTGCAGCGAGCAAGCAGAATTCAAATGAACCAGAACTTGCAGCTGATGGATTAGAATCATCACTGACAACTTTACATAAAACTACCCGTCAAACTTCATGATTTCCAACAAAAAAAACAAACTCAGTTCCCTCAAATCTCTGCTAATTTGGTGCAACAATCAAACATCAACGAGCATTCTGTGCAGTGAATGTACTCTTGTGCAGGAGAAGGAAAATATGAAACCACTTCAAGGACACACTTTGAATCAAACTGTCACTTCTCAAAATGCCACAATGGAGCATGTGGCAGGAAGAAAGAGCTTCTCTCCTGCAGCTTGTCACATGGGGGTTAACTGATCAGGGTGATGAAGGTGAGTCATCACATTGTCATGTTTCTTCATTGTTCATATCAAACACCTTGCACAGATAGAGACACTGGTTACAAGTGGCGCACAAAGGAGAGAAAACACCCATTCCACGTGCATGCCATGAGGATAAATTGGGATTTTTGGCACCTTAAAACATATTTTAACCATTTTCCACCGTGCCAATAGCTCAAATAAGGTGTTAAAAGTGAATTTGGTTTGAAATTTACAGGTTTTCTTGAGGTTCTCCGGATATTTTAAACAAGAAAGTGGTAAACTAATGACATAAATGACCTGGAGAGCTGTTTGGAGACGATTACGCGAAGATTACGCGCCAAAAAAACGAAACCTTTTGGGTATTAATAAGACACGCGTCAGATCTCCTCGCTTCGGTGGTGTGTCGTGGGTGTGGGAGAGCCTTCAGCAGGCCTTTACTCACTTTCCTGTCCTTCACATCCTCCCCGACCGCTTCGATGACCCCGGAGCCCTCCATTCCCATCGTGACGGGCGGGGCGGGCAGCAGCTCGTACAGTCCCTGTCTGCCCAGCAGCTCGGCGAAGTTCAGCCCGCACGCCTTGACGCGCACCAGCACCTCTCCTGCCTTCAGCTGCGGTTTGCTCAGCGTCTTCACCTGCAGCTTCACTTTGTCGTAGCCTCCGTAGCCGGTGAGCACCAGAGCGCGGCAGGTCAGCGGCTTCTCCTCGGCCGCGGCGCCGCTGCCGGAGGCTTCCTGCGGGGCTTCAGGAGCAGCAGCAGCCGCCGGCGGAGGCTCGTCGGGCTTCTTCTCCTGCTCAGGTTGTTGCTGCTGAGTTGGAGCCTCTTCACCAGACATCATGACACTTGTGATGTGCGCCTTCAGTGGATTTTTAGTGTAGAATAATAGTTTTGCCTGTTTTGGGCGTTTCTTTCTTTCTTTCTTTCTTTTTTAATAAAACACACTGAAACGTGGAGGAGTCGGTTGGCTGCAGATGGTTCTGCTCATAAAAGATGTTCCTCTCTGCAGACAGGCGAGCCTTTTGGAAAATGAGCGTCTTGTGTGGTTTCCTGTGTGTGCGCTCAACAAGTGATCCGTGTCAAGACAAAGGCACTTAAAATAGGAGTTCCGCTTTTGGTTTTCACAATAAAATACTGATGCGGGTCACATTTTCCTAAGTTTCAGGTCTGTGACACTATTCTCATGCAACACGTTAACTTAAGCTTTATTATAAAACTATGGTGTTAGTTTAGATACTTTCAGACTATTTATTTTTGCAGGTAACAAACCCACCACCCCCAAAACACACAATAGTTTACAGGATTACAAAAGATTTTGTTGTTTGACTATAATACAAAAAACAACAACCTCTCAACAAAGCAAAACAACAAAAACAAGCAAAAACTAAACAAATAATGACAACTAAAGTTTATGAGATACACAATGCCACCAGGTCTTCATGACCCAAATGTTAAGAAAACTATTTTTTCAGGGTAAACGGAGGTAAAAGACCTGCCCCGAGAATCATGTCTATTATTTTCTAGTTCTGAGAGTTAATTAAATCATGACAGAACTGTGACATGATAAAACTATTTTCATTTGGAGGGAATCGTCCCTTATTTTGATCAATACAAAGTTGTTATTTAAAGGAACTTCTGATGTGACTTCATTGGGTAATTTCTTAAGATTTTACATTATTTTTTTTACAATCTTATTTACTTTCATTGACTTTCATCGAGTAAGTTACCTCAGATGAACATCTTGACCTGGTTTATGAGGAGAAAGATCAATTGTAAATATTAACAATTGATCATATTTGCAGCTCATTTTGCTTTTCTGTGTGCACAACATATATTTTAATAGTTTAATAGTTAGAGCCTCTTTCTGTGTAGCAGCTCTTTGGGAGGAGAAATAAAAACACCCAATCAGACCTACATATCTGGGACATTTTACTGTGTTTTACTTTTTGTGTCATAATAGAGAACATAAAATCTGAAAGCCACATTTGGTCTCTGTGGCTGCTTTCTGCTTTTATTGAGCAAATATGAAAGCATTTTATTTACTTCATTTTTCGGGGCTGCATGATTCAGCCAGCCTCCTTGTCATCCAGTTATTCACTATTAACCATAAAACTGCTCAGTGAGAAGAGCTATGACAACCTATAGTCATGTTTTTGTTAAGTTAGTAGCGTTCTGAATATTATGTATGTGATTTTTGTCATTTAAAAATATCTTATTTTAAAAGGCAAATTGTCACACTTCCGGTCCCTCCCTGCCTCACTGCGTCTGACTTGACGCAGCTGAAAAAAGTGACCGATGTGTTTTGTTGGCAATAAGCAGAAAGATGTGAGCCAGAGCTGCGGAGAGCTTCAAACCCCGGACACTGGAGTCCTGGAGGGAGAGGAGGGATCATCTGAGGCCACAGCTGGAGGAAACAGACGCAGCTCAGCTCCTACCTGCCCCAGAGGAGGCTATTAGGCTACATCTGGTACATACAGATGCGAATGGTTGAACATCAGACTAAAACAATTTGAGGAAGTGGGGACTTTCTAGTAAAAAAATGTGTCTTAAAAATCAATCTGAGGTGGGTTTACCTCCTATATCCTCATGTAAATTTGAAATATTGCAAGTTATTTAAGGGCATTAATCTATTCTGAAAGGACATCCTGTGCGTAGGCCTGTATTTAGAACTAACTAGGACAAGTGAATTCATAGATAAGCTCATTTCCTTCACAGCTTCTTTTAGTCAGCTTCTGCAGACTCATAAGTTGTTGCATCCTGCAGCTGAAGCCTCTCTCTCATCCTGTCACGCTGCTTGAAGATCAGAAGTGAAAGCGTGATGAGAGATTTGCTTTTATGTAAAGGGGCAGAAAGGTGAGGAGTTCACACTTTCTTTACCCTCAGTCACGTTCAGAGGAAGCAAGCAGTAAGAGAGGATACAACACAGTGTGTACACACCCAGCAGCACACATACTGTACACAGCTGCTACAAACATGGTGTTCGCTGGGAAAACAAACAGCTGTGGTAAATAACTTTGGTCTGAGGGGGAAACGTGTAAGTGCTCTCAGATGCTCTGTGTTTTCTAGACACAAACACACAAACATAGTTTTTCATCGAAAGTCTCCTTTGGTCTCAGTCAGGATGTTTCTGAATACATCCCAGGAATGCTTCACTTGCACTTCTGTCAGTCACTTTATCGTTGTGCTGATTATTTGACAGTTGATGCCTTATTCTAACCACTTTGTTCCACGTCTTCCTACACAACCTTTTTCAAAACAGAGATAAACGTACAATTCTGTCATTACCAGCATTTCTATTGTTGCTGGACTTGTTGCTGTTGGTATCACCTACAGCATAGGTTAGGGATGCATATCAATATTATTTCTACTAGAAAAGAAAGACACCCTTAGATAGTTCTGAATATTATGTTGGTTGTCTGAGAGGATATTTCTAATTTTTAGATTTTTTTTTTCTTATTTATCTTATCTTATGGGCTGCAAGGTGGTTTGGTGGTTAGCATTGTTGCCTCACAGCAAAAAGGTCGCTGGTTCGCGTCCCGATGAGGACACCCGGGATCTTTCTGCGTGGAGTCTCCATGTTCTCCCCGTGCAGCGTGGGTTCTCTCCAAGTTTTCCGGCTTCCTCCGACACAGTCCAAAAACATGTTGAGGTTAATTGGTGATTCTAAATTGTCCGTAGGTGTGAATGTGAATGTGCTTGGTTGTCTGTCTCTAAGTCAGGGGTGTCCAATCCTGGTCCTCGAGAGCCACAATCCTGCATGTTTTAGATGTTTCCTTCTTCCAACACACCTGATTCAAATGATCAGCTCATCATCAAGCTCTGCAGAAGCCTGATAATGGTCCTGATCGTTTGAATCAGATGTGTTGGAAGAGGAAAACATCTAAAACATGCAGGACTGTGGCCCTCGAGGACCAGGATTGGACACCCCTGCTCTAAGTGTGGCCCTGTGATAGATGGTGACCCGTCCAGGTGTCCCCTACCTTCGCCCTGAGTCAGCTGGGATAGACTCATGACCCTAGTGAGGATTAAGCGGTGTATAGATAATGGATGGATGTTTTTGGACTTTGTGGGAGGAAGTCGGAGAACCCGGAGAGAACCCACGCTGCACAGGAACATGCAAACTCCACACAGAAAGATCTCGGGTGTCCTCACCGGGAGCCACCTTGCAGCCCCCTTGACTAATCCATCCATCCATCATCTATACACCTTAATCCTCATTAGGGTCGCGGGGGGCTGGAGTCTATCCCAGCTGACTCAGGGTGAAGGCAGGAGACACCCTGGACAGGTCACCAGTCTATCAACTGGAACACATGGTCCAGTATAAAATAATAAATATCTCATGGAAGATGGTGAAAATTCAAGTACAAACATTACATTTTTAACAGGATTGTGGAAATTCTAGCAGAACTAAACATGTTTTACGTACAGAGCGCAGCGTGTTTTATAGGATTAAGAGGAATTTATAGAAATCATGCAGGATTCCTTCTGAAAAAGTCAAAACCTTCCAAGACTTGTTGACTTGCCAACTCTCAGTTTAATGTGGAAACAGGTTGCCAACTTGTTTTTGACCAGAAGGTGGCGCTAAAAGACTTTAGAAAACTTATGTCCTGAGGCAGATCACGGATCCTATTATAACTGGAGAATACAACAAAAAGGCAGTTTGCTGACACACTGTATTTACCAAAAAAAAGGGCTGAAATACAAACATCTATCATCCATTCATCCTTGACTTCAATCAGTTTCAAAGCCTCAACATTTCTGCACTTCAACCACGGCAGCTTGGAAACAAAGTCTGACAAAGACGTTCATTCTGACAGTGATCATTTCATCTGATTAACCTGTTTGGTGATATGATGATAAGTGTATCTGGTATTTGTCTCATCCTCTGCTGACTCACACTGACTTACAACGTGTTGGTAAACAGATCCACACAGAGTGGAAGTGACTTCACCTCTTATGCTTTTCATTCTGTTTACTGGAACATACAAACACAACTGCTCTGACTGGCTGCCATGAACTCAGTGGATGATGATGATGATAGAAACACAAAGCAGCATCAAGTTGACCACAGTCAGTCAGACAAAGACAGAAAGTGCTGAAAGTCTGCCTTCAAAATAGTAGCAGCTGTTCAAACAGGACTTACAAGGAGCCGCTGTAGTTCCTATTTTCTCTGACGCTGAATCTATTAACCCATCATCTAAACAGTGACTCTAAACTACATTTTAATTAATTAAACATTCAAACAATATCAGTGAAACACTCCTGATTTACCCATTATTTGAAAGGAAGGTAGACTAAATGTAAACATTATTAAAATTACTGAGTGTAAATCTTTTCACAAAGTTGCTTTGGGAGTTTTCTGGAAAAAAATAAAATCATCTGAACATCCCAACAAATGTGAAAACTAAGAAACACAACGTGCTCAGAATAATGTGGTCCAACCCTGTAAAAACACATTAAGTGTTTGTTGGCAGATATTAAAACTGTATTATTAGCTTTTTAAAAATCCCCTTTGCACAGGTATTAGTACAAATAATGAAAAGAAAAACACGACTCTGTAGTGACATGTATTTGAATTACTGAAAGTTATGACGGAAAACATGCTTTTGATGGGAAAATCAATTTTGGAACCGTAACACAACAGTGACATTAATGATCCCCTCCAGACAACTATTAAAGACGATCTTAACCATTTTTTTTTTACCTTTACAACTTGCCAATACGGTCTTTTTATATGTTAAAATACAAATCATGAGTAAAACAAGCAGTCAGCTCCATGGCTACGTCGAAACTGCAGCATACTAATGTCACATATGCACAACATATTGACACAATAATGATAAAATGATGCTATTTTAATTGCAAACAGTTGATTTAATCACGTTTTCCCACCATTGCTGCTATTAAATGGTTGATCCATCACATAATTTTAACCTTAACCAAGAATGAACCTTTTTTGCTCATAAATCAATGTTGGTCTTTAATAATATATGGAGATAAATCAACCTTTTATCAGGTATCAACAGAGTTTTAAACGTGGCCGTGTCTGGTTAAAGCCTGTTTCGCACAATCGGACTCTTCTACAACTCTCACAGAAAAAAATACTCCTCTAGTATCCCAAAACAGGTGGTGGGTGCTAATATTTTTACGCATCACGATCGGTGGCTTTGCGTCCCAGCTACATGCTTTGATTTTGAAAAACCCAACAGGCAACTGCTTTCTAACGCCGCGGTTTTAACAGGTACCATCGGTGCGCCTCACTTGGCTGGAGGCGCAGAGGAGCGCAGCGTTCATTGCGCAGAGTATGTGGCCGAAACTACATCGGACTCTGGAGCTGAAGTTTCTGTCCGAAGTGATTTAAACATTTCGACCATCCAGAGCTGCTCTTGTCCTCGACTCTCCACCTGCTGGGAGCTAAATGACAAGTAGGCAGCCACTCGGAACCTTTCAGTGATACACGGGGCACGATGGAGAGCAAAGGATTACTGCGCTGTAAGATCGTGGTTGTCGGTGATACGCAGTGTGGCAAGACGGCTCTCCTTCACGTTTTTGCCAAAGACTCGTACCCAGAGGTAAGACAGCGTTTCATACAGATAAACACACGAGCGGTGACTGCTGCTGCACAGGTGCGTAAAACAGCCGAAACCAAAGTGTGAAGTCTCCACGCAGCCTGAAATTTATGCTCAAAAACTTCCAAATGCGCTCAAATCAATGTGGGAACTGGTTTATATTTGGTCACTTATGAACATCAATCGATTCCAACGTGTTTTTGCTTCTTTCTTTAATGAATGTTAGACCAAAACGCTGCCCTGAACTGATTGTTCTCAGGAAGGTTGTGAGCTTTTTGCGCATCATAGACTGCTATCACATCTTTCCTGTCACTTGTGTAAATAGATTAAACTAATTCGACATAAAAATCACAAGATTGGCTGCGTACGGTCGCCACAGAACCGGACCTCGGTGCGCTTTTGCGCATCGTGCGTCTGTGGTTTGCTGGAGCAGCTTCGGCGTGTAAACACTGAAGCATCACCGGTTTCAGCTGAACAACTGCCGCTGAGCAACACAATGAATCACCGAGATTGTGTGATTCTCCACTGTGAGTGGCGCATGAATAAATGTGCAGTTATGACATTTTAATGCGGTGACTAAAAACTGTGAATGAAAACAACATGAACACACGAGAAACAGTTTGTCTCCTGAAAACATGATCTCCTGGACGCTCAGTACTCGTGATTTTAGTCATAAAATCAACACATCTGAAGAACAGAAGCAACAGTTAATTAAGCAATTATCAACTACTAGTCAATGAATTGTCTAAATCCTCTGACTCCAGCTCCTTAAATGTGAATATTTTGCTATATTGTCTGTCTTCTTTCCTCTTCTGTGACAGTAAACTCAGTATCTCTAGATTGTGGACAAAACAAGACATTTGAGGGGTCATCTGTGTTTTTTTGGAAACACAGATTTACCAAACAACCAAGTGGCTATTTGAGAAAATTATGGATGGCTTATTAAAAAAATTAAAATAATCCTTCGCTGCAGCCCTGATCTGAAGATATCAGGAAGAACAATAGTTTTGAACACCAAGAATTCAAAATTTGACACACAAATCTGGGAGCTGTGAACATTTCGGACAACAACAGAGATTTTGAGCAGATAAATCCAGGAGTATCTCATTTTGGTCAAATCTCTGATGTGCTTTGGCTAATTTGTTGATGACAACACGTTGTCACGACATGAAAAGCACCAGAAAATGTATTTAGTTGTCAGATGTTGGATTGAAAATAACAGGAATATGGTATTCTGTGTGTTTGACCAAGTGACGGGTTAAAATATTCTTTGCACTTACTGAATTTGAGTTTCTCTCGAAACTCTTGAACTATTGCGGATAATGAAATCAAAGCTTGTTGACCTAAATTTCTGTTTTTCGAAATAGGTCAAAGCTAAGAATTGGCTTAATCTACTTTCCACGCACACACACACACACACACACACACACACACATACACAAACACAAACACACACCGCTCCCTGCTTCTTGACATTCCTCTCTGCACTATCCTCCGAATTCATTAAGAATCCGGCTGTTTTCTAAAAAATCACACCAAATTTTCTACCAGCTTTGATCTAAATTTAGCCACACGTGTCTCTTTTGCAGAACTATGTTCCCACGGTGTTTGAGAACTACACAGCCAGCTTCGAGATCGAGAAGCAGAGGATCGAGCTCAACATGTGGGACACTTCAGGTGAGGCTTCGTCCCTTTGCGGTGCAGGATTGTCACACCGGTGCCGCGAGAGGCGCATCATCCCAACCCCGTGAAGAAGTTACTGTATCAGGCGCTCCAGATTGGCAGACAGCTGACTCCTCAGAGCGTACAACAACTTCCAGGCAGTGGGCCAACAACATGAGCAACCACACACAGAGAGTGCCAGGATAATCTGTAGGGAGCACTGATGGATAATTTAAAAAAAAAAAAATGATTTCAGCTAATTTAATTCAAATTTGGATGCAGCATGTGTCCGTACACTATTTATGTAACCTCCGTCCTGTCATCACCTTTTAGAGTTAATTTGACACTTGTAGTCAGCTTTCAACAGCCAGCTCAAGAGTCATATGAGCTCTCTGAGCGGATAAACAACTTGTCAATCAGCGCCTCGCCTGCTCCGAGTAGCTGCCACAGCTTAATCAACACATAGGAAGGCTGAAAGAAACGCACAAGATTCATGATCGCGAGCCTGCATCTTGGCAGAATACACGCAACGAGGCGAGTGGGCTCATTTAAGTTAACAACTGTTGATTGTCCGCTGGTTGGTGCTGATAGCTCGGGGGGGGTTGTTGCTCAAAAATGTTTATTTATAGAGCAACAGTTTTGCACTTTGGAGTCGTTTTATACGGCGGAGATTCGAGGTTGCGGAGCTCAAACAGTCAGACTCTTTCAGTCTCCGGGTGGGAGTTAGCTTTCTCCCCTTTTGTCAGCCTTTAGGCCTCCTTTCACATTTCATTTCCACTTACATAACAACACCCGAAAACTTGTTCTCGCACAACAACAGCGTTCCATTAACCTCCACCCAAGCCGACACGCCGACCAGCCAGACGAGCTGGAGATTAAGAGCTGCAGCTGGCTGGGGCTGGTGCTGCCTGTGGGCTTGCAGTGGGTGAGGCCACTCGGCTGTGTGTAAACAAAAACCCTCTGAAATTGCTGCCTGGTTCACGCACACACACACACACACACACACACACACACACACACACACACACACACACACACACACACACACACACACACACACGCACACACACCTCGCTGAGCTGGTCGGTGGATGACAATTACAGCAGTGAAACACTCAAACAGTCATTTGCTCCACCCTCGCACAAGAATTCAATTCATCTTTTTCGTGTGAACCATTCAGGACTTTGGGATGTCGTATCGTTTGAATCTCTGCATAGCGGACGCGAGGCGACAAAGAGCCTCCAAGGTTCTTCTAAAAAAATTCTCCACGAATGAATCCGACGAAAAATCTATTTCTGTCCGCGCGCAACTGTAAAAGAGAGGGGAATTATTTTTTAATAAGGAGGGTTTAGGGGAGGATATACACCAGCGAGAGGGATTTTTTTTTTCTTTTTACAACCTGGCAACCCAAATGCTGAATTTATTAATGGATTTCTACTGATTTATAAAGCAATAATAGCTGATTGTTTTGCTGTAACTTCGAAAGCACGCTAAACTGTCCTGAAGGTTGAAGGGAAGGAAGTAAAGGAAGGACCTTGGTGGCATAAGAGGATTGGAAACACATTTATTCAATAGCTTGCTAAGAATCAGATGAGAAGACTGATATAGCTCTCATGTCAGTGCAGTCAGACTCCTAAAATCTAGCAAATGTCAAGTAGAGTTAAGTAGATTAATAGACTTTTTTCTGCTAGATTAATCGTAGCAACTGCTTGAGTTCCTTGAAGACGATTAATCTACCAGAATAACCATGACCTGGATGACTGAGAATCTTCACAGACAATAAATAGAGACATATGACAGAAGTCTAATTTGAACAGACTTCAAGTATCTCGTTTTGAAATCCCCAGCTGCTCAGTGTGTTTAAGCTTTAACGTATTTTAATAATAACTCCTGCCCTAAATTGAAAGGACAAAAAAAAAAAAAAAAGAGATAAATGACATTTTAAAGTGTTTTTAGTCTCATTGCATTTCTATTAACCTTCTTAGTCCCAAAAACTCACCAGCGGGTTTGAAAGGCGTGCGTTGTTTAAAGCGACCTCATTTATCACAGCGAGAAACAGATTTTCAACTTTCTGACGGTCCTTGAATTAATCATGTAGGACTTCTGCTTCCATAATCAGCCAAATGTAAGCTTAAAATTGTGATATTTGATCAAAATTACTGTTAAAAAAATTGCCAAAACGCAGATCCTGCACCTCTCACCACAACTCAGAAGTCATTAGCTTCAACCGTTGGTCATGTGACAAACGTCTCAGCTGAACTGCAGGCAGTGTTCGAGAGGAGATGACAAGAGACACCGAGAGGAGAATGAAACGTGCTCGATGGACAAAATAAATGCAGCATTGCTCAGAAACAGTTTAAAGAGGGGCAAGTTGCCTGGAGATGCCTTCAGTGTGGTGAAATATCTGGAGAATTGTTGAGTTCTATCTACTTCTAGGCCTGGTTGTGCTGTTTTCATAGCGGACTTTATATTGCGCTGAAAGAGGAGCCTGTAGTAAATAAAAACACACCCAGAAGCTGCTCGGGGGTTCAGAGGGTTGATGTAGTTCACGGCAGGTGATCCATATCTGACCTGACCCGGCTTCCTCCAGCTCTCTGTAAGTAAAGAAGAGACGTGTGCGTTGCCTTGCAGTGTCCCTGCCAGCTATTCTGGCTTCGTCTCGGCAGACAGGTGCACCGGCGCCTACATCAGTGCTACCACAGGTCCCAGTGGAACCTGCCTCTTCTTGCTAATGGCTGAACTGGGGGATTACAGTCGCACAGGGAAGCTTTTGTGTGTGCACTGCTGCAATACTCCTGAGTTTTCAACTTCTGCTCTTACTCACATATACCGCTCCTTATGCAATCACAGGGCTGCCTGAGAATTTTCATACTTTTTGCTGGTGTGTGTGTGTGTGTGTGTGTGTGAGCATGTGCCGGCATGTACGAGAGGCAGCTAGGCAAATGTTTGCACGCGCTCAGTTTGTGTGTGTGCGATTTGCATGACAGCAGGTGAACCAACCCAGTGGGAGGGAAGTTGTGGACGAAACTCAGACACCCAACAAGCAATTGTAGAAAAATCTGTTCGGTTTCAGTGTAAAAAATGAGGATATGTTTTATCAGATGATCGCTGCGGTTGAGCATGTTGGATTTGGAGCTGAGTAAAAAGGACAGATATGATGTAAGCGGATTCAGATCGCCGAAGGTTTCAAGTGCAAATGATAAAAGAGCACAAACTCCTCACTGATCTTAAGCTCCGAGGCTCCTGTGCGGATAACAGTGGAGGATGTATGATTAGAAAAAAAGGGAAGATGAGAAGACAAGGTTGAGTTGTTGAGGGGAGAGTGTGAGGCAAGAATGAACCTCTGAGCTGCTCATTGTGCAGAAACAAACAGTGGATTTAATTAATCAGGCGCTCGCTGTTTGACCAAACACTTGCTTCCTTTGTCCTTCATTCTTCATCTGGCTTCCCCTCCCGCTGCCTCCTCGACCTCCTGCTTCCATCAACCACGTCCAAACCTGCGTGTGCTCGAGCTCCCTGCCTCGTCGGGTAAAATCCTCCTTTTTCTTTCCTGTGCTCATCTCTGCGAGCCCTCATCCCTCCCTCTCTGCCATTGTTGTGTTTTTCCATCAAGATTAAGATCAGAAAGATGCTCGTCCAACTCTCGCAGGTCTCTTCGCTGATCTTCACTCGTCTTAGTTTTTGTTCTTCCGACCTTCTCCTCATTCGCTGTCCCTTGGCCATCTCTCCTTCTTGACACCATGCTGTGGAGTTCAGCACGTTAGCATGTACCATCTGCCTCCCCGTGTCCTGAGCACGAGCACCAAGAAACGCTGGAATAATGTCGTGTTTATAGATCCGAGCCACCACTTTGTTGCTTCCTGTTTACAGAGCGCAGTGCAGATGTTATGGACTGTGAGGACGTATTTGCAGAATTTGACAAGAAGTGGACAAGATTAGAACTGCTGACTCTATCTTTAATACATCCATGGTTAACTGGAAATAGCATGTAAAGATAATACAGTCGTGACTCGATAATCCGACCCTTAACAATCTGGAAACCTTGCTATCCGACAGGTTTTTAGGAAAAACAAACGGAACCCGTTAAAAACAGCCTTAACATAGCGACAGCCTTGGATTCTGACCCCGACATGACATTTTATGTCACAAATCAGGAAAACGGCGTATTATCTGACTGAACAATCCCACAGATTGGCTACGTTCAGACTGTAGGACTTAATGCTCAATTCAGATTTTTTTGTGAAATCCGATATTTTTGCGAGTTCCTTCACATTTCCAGTTAAATACGACTTGTATGTGATCTGCTGTGTGAACTTCATACGACCCAAAAGTGTCCCGCATGCGCAGAAGAGGACACGACGACGTCACACGCAGCGAGCGTGCTCAGTGTCTATGGAAGTAAACATGGATGGTGGCAGCGGCGGGGGAGTAGTGCCACCACCGATGGTGGAAACAGAAGTGTGACTGCGAACTAAACTAGCATCAGCAGCCAAGTACTGCCTGTGCGTTCCGGCCACTTCCACCGCTGCCCCGGGGTGGAAGTGTCCCCCGACCGTGCAGAATATTCGGATATTCATCATTAATTGGGCCTGAATATCCAGAGACCAGAAAGTGCTATTGGGACCAGAACTACTAGTTGTTATAACAACTATGAACAATAATTAATAACAAATGAGCCTTCAAGCATCAAGCCCTCGTTGTATCTCGACCTCCGTCTTGACAATCCGACAGCCTTGCTATGCGACATAAAAGAAGGTTTTACATTTAGTGTCGGATTATCGAGTCACGACTGTATTTTCCCTTTTATTGACTCTGTTGTTCCTGAATCACTGAAAAAAAAAAATCAAAGAAGCATTGGCATAATTGATGATGTCCAAAAGATGCTTCGACATCAGTATTTTAAATCAACTCATAATTTTTATGTTTTATCGTAAAAACTCGAAATATTCCAGTAACAGTTGTTCTTTAACATCACCACTGCTGTGTCATAAACTCAGCTGCAGTCAGCGCTACAG